AAAAATGCAGTCGAAGGGGCTAAAAATAATAATAGGTAAGAATAAGAATTTTAGCAAATACAATAGGGACCGAGCCAGCACAATATGGCCGAATACTGAAATGTGTGACAAGTGATTACATTTGCAAGACAAAAGGCGAACGGAGGTGCACGTTACTTTAGTATTTAAACACTTCCTGCAGTGTGGGAGAAAGTGTTCAGAGTAAGAGAGATAAAGGAGAAAGTAATGGAGGACAGAGCAGGTTGGAAACATTCTCATTGACTTGTAGGATCATTAAATACCTTCTAATAATTCTCATTATTCACTAAATGATGTGAAATGCAGTCCAGCAGCTATAAACTCACCTCATCCTTCAGCTGTCGGCTCCACTCTCTCTGAATATCAGGCTGAATTCTGCTGCTGGTGCTGATTTGGGTTCAGTGAGGTCCAACTTCTGTCCAGTAATGTGATGTTATTGCGTAGCAGCGAATGTTCACACTGAAGTATCGATGGGTCGTCTGTGGACGAGTCGGCTCTTTGAGTCGAGTCCTGTATGTGAACAATGGGAGCTCGTCTGAGAGCCAGTTGTGTTCTTTTCTTTCTTTTTTTAAATAAATGTATACATTCAGAATAAGAGGATGATTCTATATCGTATTTGTTAAATACAATGCAGAAACATTTCATTTTGGTAATAAATTATTAATAATATATGAATATATTATATTTTTCTAACACTTTTTTATACCACATTTAATTCAGTATTTAATAATATATTAAAAAAACGTTCAATACATGTATAAAAGTGTTTGATGTTTTTACATTATTAAATGTTTTCATACCAAACTTTACGTAAAATTATAATATTCTGGATTAAGGTTTAATATCATTACATAATAATTTAAGTGATGTATGTGCACTTATACTGATCATAGGCCAGTTTATTGCTAAATATGGCTGAAGTAAATAAAGAGCTGACTCATACTGAGCTGAGCCAAATGATCCGGATCACTAAAAAGAGACGGATTTCCCATCATTACACTGAAGTCGAAGCGAACTTCACGAGCGGAGCGAACAGACGCGAGTTCGCCGCAGCGCAGGTGGATTGAGGCGAAGTTAAACAGCTGTAAAAGCTCCTATTCATGGACGTTAAGAGAGGAGAGCCGAAAAAGAGGGAGAAAGTGGGAGAAAATGACCGAAAACCGTTTTCCTGGTGAGTTCTGGGCGGAGCGAACAGGATTCGCGCGAATAAAGCGACGCGTGTTGAGGCGTCTGACTTTCGTTTCCCAGGAATGGAAACTCACAGCCACAGGTCGTCTGACACTAACAGGAAAACATAAAAACTGTCCTTAAATGTTCTCCTGAGGTGATTTAAAGTTAGAAACAGTTTCCTTCTTGTAGCTCTGATATGATTTTATGGGTAATGGAAATATTAGGAAGCATTATGTCACACACACAGTTATATACAGTATGTTGATGCAGAGCTGGGACAGCCGTTACCTTGAGACACCTGTAGTATGACGCTCTGCTGACCCCTGCTGGTGTCACTTTTATTGGCCAGGTATGTGCACACATAGGAATTGGATCCTCTTTCTCTCAGTGAATAAGCATAAATAAACAACAACAAACTAAACAACAACAATAATATCTGTGTGTAAAAGATGCTGGAATAAATATTTGTGTGCAGGTATTTTTTTGTACACGACGTAGTATGGATATATATTTAATATATGTATATGTATATGTATATATATATATCCAGTATATCCAGTATGCATAGATGTGTTTTTAGTGATGATATTTATGTGTTTTAAAAAGAAAACTGAGTTTTAACAACCCTTAATATATAAAAAATAATGAGAAACTTTTAATTATTTTCACTTAATACCTAAAAAACAATGAAAAAAAATGATTTACAGATATAGAGGATATTTTTGAGTCACAGAGACACTTTGTAATAACGATAATAATAATAATAATAATAATAATAATAATAATAATAATGGCTTTATTAATGACACAAGGAACAAGGTCAATAGCAATAAGAACAATGTGTACAAAAATACATGAAGAAAAACACAATACATACGTTGACTATTTCAATCAATATAATCATTGAGTTCTTACAAGCAGAACGTTCAGGTGCAACATATCAAACATATAAATAACCACAAAATCTACTAAAATTAATCAAAATCAGCCCGCTGGGAGTTGAACTATGGACACTGCTCCTGTATCGTCCCATTCAGCCAAGCAGTTGCTCAAATGTCCATATAGGTGATTTATTGATGCTAATTATGATAATTGTCCAACATATGCAAGTTAACATCTGGCAGTTTCTAAGTGCTGGGGATCTAAACTGTGTATGGAAGCTCAACTCAGCCAATGTGTTAGTCATTATAATGAGAAACTTCAACTCCATATCAATATTTTCACCTAATATCTCAAAATAATAAGAAACTTTTAAATATTTTCACTTAGTATCTCAAAATAATGATAAACTTTTAAATATTTACACGTAATATCTCACAATAATTAATAATCAATAATCTGATTATATTGACAAACAGAACACGTTCCCTTACATAAATACAGTTTATTTAGAACTTAATCATTAAGTTAAAGAATTAAAGTTCCGGCCGATAACATTTACGTCCTCTTACGTTTTAACACTACGCAGTTTACGTAAGCTACGTACGACGGAACATTTCCTGCGTATGTTGCTGTAGTTAGTAATGGCGGAGCTCAAAGAGGCAGACGCTGCTCGGCTACACCAGGAGGACGTCGATATCAAACGTAAGTAAAGCGGCGCCCGTTGGTCGGTTTAACGCTGAATTTGTGTCGGTGAAGTGGAGAATGAACCGTCGTCCAGCTCCCGGCGGCGCTGTGCGGCGAATTCACGGAGAATTTGAGTTTGTAACTGCTGAACTAAAACCAGGGCCTCACCACGGAGCTCCGCCATAGGACCTAAACAGTCAACAACAACAACAGCGAATAAAAGGGGGGGAGCGAGAAGCTAATGGTAGCTTAGCATTCACCTGCAGCGGTCTAAGCTCTCCACAGAGGCTTTATCACCGCGTGATATTATGGTCTGTACGAAGTTACAGCTTCTGGAGACACGGCCTCATCACGGAGCTGCACTACAGGACCACAGAGACGCTCCGTTTGGACACCAACGGTCTGTTTACTAGCGGTCGCTGACGGTCGGTTAACGGTCGGGTAACGGTCGGTTAACGGTCGGTTAACGGTTGGTTAACGGTTGGTTAACGGTCGCTCCACAAAGACACCAAACGGCGTTAGCTCAAGTTCCTAGCACGTCAGCATCGTGAGAACCAGTGGTGGAAAGTAACTAAGTACAGTTACTGGAGTATCAGGATACTTTGTACTTTTACTCCATTACATTTCAGAGGGCAATATTCAGTAAAATGTAATCAGATACAATTAGTTATTATCTGTTTAATCCCAGTATCGCAGTGTTAACTTCATTATAATGCTGTTGGATATGTTAAAATAATAATATGTTGTGGTATGATTCACTCTTACTGTGAGATTTATTGTTTTTGCGTCACATTGTGTACATTTTCACTGAAACAACTATTAGTTTTAGTGAAGTTTAGTTTAGTTTTAGGGGTTTTGTACCAAACAAACATGTTTTCTAACATCTGGAGA